AATTAACCCCACAGGCCCCCGTTTTCGGAATTTCCAAAAAAAAAATCATACCTTCATCAAAATACAAGTGGATAGGAGTTTCTTTGTATGAATGTGTTCCTATGATAGTACTCAATAATATGTTCATCTCAGAATATTTTGTCGGGCAAGAATTAACCCCACAGGCCCCCTTTTTCGGAATTGCGAGAAAGAATCATAACTTCTTCAGAATACTTGTGGATTGGAGTTTCTTTCTATGGATGTGTTCCTCTGATAGTACCTGATGATGTGTGATCTCACAATATCACACAGGCCCCCTCTTTTGGAATTTCGAAAAAAAAACATAACTTTCTCAAAATACACGTGGATGGGAAATTTTTTCTATGAATGTGGTCCTCTGATGGTACTCGATGATGTGTTCATCTCACAATATTTTGTCAGGCAAGAGTTAACCCCACAGGCCTCTTTCTTTGGAATTTCTAAAAAAGAATCATAACTTCTTCAAGATACACGTGGATGGAATTTCTTCTATGAATGTGTTCTTTTGTAGATACTTGATAATTATGTTCATCCCACAATAATTTGGCGGGCAAGAATCACTCTTTCAAAATACACGAGAATGGGATTTTTTTTCTATGAATGTGTTCCATGTACATAATTCATCTGAAAATTCAATTTATGTATAAGAAATCCCACAAGCCGCGTGATTTTGTCATTATGACAGCGAAAAAAGATTGCCATAACTTTTCGAGCGACAATAACGGAACCTCACTTTTGAAAGCCTGACAACCAGTCATAAACGAATTTATGATGAATTGAATCGTCTCACCGAATCACACTTCAGATTTTTATTAGTCGAAGTGAACTTGGCATTTATAATTCGAATTTTGTTGATATGAGGTAATTCAACTCAAAAAACTGCCAGAAAATGTTACTCGTCCTACGGACTCGTAATTTTTTCAGAGGCAGTCTCTTTCGTCAAATTGCCAGGCAACAAAATGTTCATTGATACATGTCAAGTGTACTCCGACGAAAATGGGAGCGAGAAAATTCCGATTCAATATTCAATATATCTGTTGGGTAAATAAAAACTGGGTCAGCTGACTTCGCCCGACGCAGCCACAGGATTCCTTATGCATTATGCATATTTCGATGAATCGTTTTTTCGTTTTTTTGTTTGAAACAATTGTGGAAAACTGAGAAATAAAGCAATTGATTAGCTTGGAATTTGCCTACAAATTCCGATATATCGAATTGGAACCAAATATGACCTTTCCAAAATTACTCTGCTAAGTTTGCCCCTCGATTTGCCCCAAGCTTGCAAAGTCGAAAGCCTTTCAGAAAATGCCAGAATGGGATAGTTATTCAGCTTATAATCAGTACTTACACTTCGTCTTATGAAATCGTCATGAAATCATGATTGGAATGTATAATGTATATATATAAATATATTAAATAAGCCTTTCAATATTGATATATAAAATCATTGAAAAATGACGAATCGATTCGCTTTTTTTTTTCTGGAATCGTAGGGCAAAGAATTCGAAAAAGGGTGATTGATAAGCCTCAAATTAGAAATTCCAATGTATCGAATCGAAAAACCATATCACCTTTTCAAAAATGGCTTGCATGAAGCCAGCAAAGCCACAGGTTTCTTCTGAAGGATATGTAGTAAAAAATTACAAATCGGGAGATTTTTCGAGCATACAATCAATTCTAACGCTTTGCCTTATAAAATTACTAAAACATGATATGGAGGAAAAAAATCTCTAAGTCATCTCCACGCTTCTTGATGACAAAATGTTACGATGGGGAATAAAAAATGTTTGAGGCCTATCATGAGCCCATCATCAGACAAATATATTGAGAATCATGGATAGAAAACGTTACATCGCTTAATGAAGATTATTTCCACAAAAATCATCAGAACGACGAAAAAATGATATATTATTGGGATTATTTCTCTTATTAACATTGAAATCGAAGCCTTGATTTCGAAGATTATATTTAGGAACTTAAAATTGATGTGAGGATGAATTCAGAAATCTTGAGTGGGATTTATAATTCGAAAAAGAGTGAAATTTAGTACTGTTAGAAGAGGATGCCTCTTGTTTTGTATCTGCTTCAAATTGAATGATGTGTTTTTTAGTATAAGGTGTTTCCTCCTACCTTGGACCTCGACATAGTCCAAAGAAGTTGAATGTAGGACATCAAGTTCTATGCTAGGGATAACAGGAGTAAGTTTGATATAAAGCCAGTGTAATTTATTGTTTATATCTGTGAGACGGACGTAGTGATGCTCAATTTATTGTTCTACCTAGATCAATCATTGTGCTGCCTGAATGAACCTTCTGGAATAGGAGCTTTGTGATTCAGTGTGTAACTTGACGTATCCTGGGACTACGTTGAGGTGCAGACATTAAATTTTTCGTTGAGCCATGTGTCCAAATTGATAGTTTTTCTATGAAATAGGATTCTTTTGTAGAAATGGACCAGTGTTGCTTGACTTGCAATGTTAAACAGTGTGTAGAAATTCATAATGCTTGAAGTGGGGTGTAAGACATGTTTCGGTGCTATCATAAGCCCATCATCAGCCAAATATATGAAAAATCATTACATTGCTTAGTGAAGAATTTTTTTTTTAATTATTAGAACGACGAAATAATTTGAAATTATTGGGACAATAATTTCTTTATAAATCCGTCTCAAAATATGCTTCTGATAAGAATGCTCAAGGTACAGTGAATAAGGCATATTCCGACGAATCCTTTCGTTTTTGTTTGTCTCGAACGTTAAGCATAAAATTAAAAAATTCAATAATTGATTAGCCTAAAATCGGCCTTTCAATAACAATATATTTAATGAGTGCAAAATATATTCATTCCAAAAATGGCTTTGCTGAATTTGCCCGAAGCTAGCAAAGCCACCGGACTCTTGAAAAGGATATGCAGCAGAAAATTCAAAAATAATATAGTACTTGAGCCTATAATCGATACTATCGCTCTGTTTCATGAAATCGTCAGAAAATCTTACTTTGGTAGAAACACAAAATACCTGGTGAACATCGCGACTATCGACAATTAATTTTTTTTTTTCTAAAATCGTAGAGCAACCAATGCGAAGATAGGGTATTTATTCAGCCTGTAATCAGCCTAGGAATTCTCATGTATCAGATCGTGAAAAAAAATAATTTTACAAAAATGGCTCCGCTTGGTTCGCCCGGAGCTAGGAAAATCACAGATCTCTAGTGGAAAATATACAGCGATTATTTTCAAATTGGGGCATTTGTTGACCTCACAATCGATACTGACACTTTGCCTTATATAATCGTCATAAAATATGCTCTTGATGAAATCACATAATGTATAGTGTATTACACGTATTTGGACGAACCGCTCCGATTTTTGTTCTGTTTGAATAGTTGAGCAAAAAATTCGAAAAAGGGGTAATTATCCATCCTTGAATCAGCAATGAAATCCCAATGTATCAAATTGAAAAACAATATAACCTCTTTAAAATTGGCTCCGCTGACTCCGCCCGAAGCAAGCAAAGCACGAAAATATGCAGAAAAAAATTGGACAGGTATTGACCATCCAATCAATAGTATCACTTTGCCTTTTAAAATCGACATGAAATAATATGATTTCGAAAGAGCTGCATAATGTATAGTGAATAACGCATATTTCGATAAAACGTTCGATTTTTTTTATGTTGAAACGTTGAGAAAATATTCGAGAATAGGGTAATTAAAAAGCCTAGAATAAGCATTTCAATATCTTCATACAAAAGCAGTGAAGAATGTATTCATGTCAAAAATGTCTCTGCCGAGTTCGCTCAAAGCAAGCAAAGCCACGTGTCTTCTTTCTTCAAAATATGTAGCAAAAACTTCCAAAATTGGATAGTTATTGAGATAACAATCAATACTAACACTTTGTTTCATGAAATGAATGTTTTCAAAAATGACTCTGCTGAGTTCGGCCGGAGCTCGCAAAGCCACAGATTTCTCCATGATACAGGGGAGCAAAAAAATCGGGAATGGGGAAATACATACACATACATTAGTCTCAAATGGGCCTAAACTCATGAGATATGTTCCATGTCGAAATACGTAAGTGGCTTCTGCTAGTTTCTTCACTATACCGACATATTTCGAATTCCTTGTTGTACCATAGTAATCACGCCTTCTACCAGTCATTGCAGAAACCCGATAATAATTCAGATCAATTTGTCTCCACCAATTTTGTCAATATTTGATTCCAGAAGCTGTAAGGTTGGTGGCTTTCATAATATTGTACTTACCTACCCCGCTGACCTCAGTGGGACACCCTGTGTATGTGAGAATAATGGAAAGTTTCATCCATTCGTGAGTTTAACTTCTAGTGAAACTCCAGCAGTTCTTCCAGAGTTATGACGTGATCACGATTTGTGAATTGTTAATTCAGGGGGGTCTAGCGCGCAAACTAAGCAACTTTCTACCTACTAACTGGGGTGAGTTTGCTCTTGACTTGTTTTGGTCTGAGAATATGTGATAGGTTTCTATAGTAAAAATCAATCCAGGTCACCCTGTATAATTGATTGAGTGAAGTTATGAACTTTTGTGAGGTTTATCGATTGAAAATAAATATATTTCACAAGCATAAGAAGGTATCATTCGAGAAATTCAACTTTTTATCTAGATATCTCCGAGAATTTGAGGCGATGATTTCGCAAGCCAATATCTCATCAGTAATCTACACTCTGCAAAGCATCTTGACTAGATTGGGGAATAAGAAACAATATATTCTTGATGTAGGTATGGTTTTGAGAAGGTACTCAGAGATCAATGCATTATGATGAGTTTACCTAGTAGTACCTACGTTTTCAAATGTTCATCAATGAAAAGAAATGAATATGTTTTTTGAGTCAAAATATTCTCTTGTGAGAATAAAAAATCAATTATCTTGCATCAAAGAAAACATCTTGTACCGTAACCGTCTACACAACAAAGACTTAAAGTGAGCTAAAATGAAGACAAAACACACCTTGAAGTTTTTTCTCGGTCTCCCAGAACTTTTGCAGTTCGGTGAAGTACTTGTCTAGGATGAAGACCTTTGATAGCCCTAGGGTAGCCATCTTTGCGTGTCATGGACACTTCTCCACCATTTTTCGGTCATAGCACACACATAAAACAGGAAAAACACTCGGAAAACGCTAGAATGTTGCAGAAACAATCTTTGATGAACTGCTCACGGCACACTAAGACCGAGAGGTGGTTCTACCTGCGTTCGGGTCACGTGACGCTACGCCGTTAGTGTTCTCCTCGCTGTTGTCTTTATTCCTCTTACCTGTACTTCGATACACCTGTGTGGGTATCTTTAGATATTTTGGGATAGGTGAAAAGTGAGAAACCTTTAGATCGATGATGCCAAATATCAGTTCGGAATAATCCAATATAATAAAACTTTATATAATCGGGAATGAGATATAGTACTTAGAACATAAGGTATTTTTTATATATAAGATTTCAATAAGAACCAGAAGAAACGAGCTGACTGATACTCATGTAATTGATAGAGAATTAGATGAAATATTATTATTTCACATAATATGCTCTTGAACGAGTCGTTATTCGGATACAGGGCATTGATTGTGACTTTCTTCAACGGAAATTAGAATACTCAATCAGAATACTGTAAATTAGTAGGAATGTAGTTATTGTATGTCATAACATCTCGATCGACATATTTGGGTGGTACTCATTGTGGGTACCGTTAATGAAAACATCTGAAGAAATAGTTTCCAGCATCTAACATACCAGATTTCAATATATTTTTGTATATTTTTATCCAGACGCTTGATTCTGACCCTCTTGAATACTTTAGATATTCCGCTCATTCGAAGATAGTAGTGATTAATCGAGTTTCTAGTCGAGTTTTATCGATTCCTGGGATATTATTAATTCAAATTCAAACACTACCCAATAATCGTCTAAGGTCATCCTCAATGTGTCGCCAAATGCCTAGAGAAGCCGTTTTATTTTCTTCCACCTGAGAACATCATCAGGCGTAAATTCAGCGCCATAATTGCTTTAGATGAGTTCTTTCAGTGACAGCCTGAGGATGAAGAGGATTTAGTTCCTATAGATGTCTTCAAATGACATTCCATGTAATAACGTGTCATCAAAGATGAAAGGCAGAAGAAGAAAAATTGAGCTTATGTCTTATATGCACTGAGAGAAACTAGATATTGAGAATATCTACCACCTCTGATTGTGATAACCATTATAAAGCAACCTTTCATTCTGATCATTCCACTATTACAACAGTTTTCTCTCCATATTCTGAAATTATTGAAATCGTTTTCTTAAAACCTTTTTTATACCCCTGAATGGACATTTGCTATCATCATAACGCAGGTGTTTTATGACATAATGAGTATTCTATAAATTTAAGTCTATTAAATTTTTTCATTGACATAGCTCGTTTTGTGAATTATGCCAATTGGTGAATTCAGATAATGTTTGTCTCAATAATAATAGCTAATTGGGTTTCTAGCATTGTTAGTTGACGAATAACTACAGCAATTCCCTTTTATGACGGTTATTAGACAGTCATTCGACGATCGTAATTCGGCCTATTTCACTCTAGTTTCTTATCAGTTTTGGGGCTGATATCGCTCAGATCGTGTTTATTCTCACTCTTGTTCTTGGTCATGGGTGCCCGTGTTTATTTATTGTTCAATGGTTTCGATCGCCCGAATCGATAGAGCCGTGTCGTGTTAGTGAAGGTGTGTGATGTAGCAAAATTTTGTTGATTTGCTGGCTGTGGACGTACCCAATAATACAAAGATAAAAATGGTGTATCTATACATGGACTGGAAACTGTAAGCTGTAACTACCCAGAAGTATCTATTTTCTAATTTGTTCAGTTATTTATGGTGAATTCAGTTGAAAATATGTTTGCCCTGTTGTTACTTTGAGTAGTTGATATTATGAGTCCAACTTCTCAGGTATTCTGATGTTTCTTAAATAATTATGTTGAAATCTTGAACCATTGATACTTCCACTTGAAATATTCGAATATTTTGAGGAAGTTATATCTAGGGGTGGGCGATAATGATTTTTCAATATCGATCATCGATATTCATAATGTATCGATATTATCGATATAATCGATATTATCGATATTATCGATATTATCGATATTATCGATATTATCGATATTATCGATATTATCGATATCATCGATATTATCGATATTATCGATATTATCGATATTATCGATATTATCGATATTATCGATATTATCGATATTATCGATATTATCGATATTATCGATATTATCGATATTATCGATATTATCGATATTATCGATTTTATCGATAAATCGATGATTTTTCTCCAAATTATTATCGATAATTATCGATATATCGATAATTTTTCCCACTTCTAGTCGTGACAAGGGTATTTTTATAAAACTAATTCTTTACATTTACTTTCTGGTCTCTAGGTAGATAAAATAAACAGAACTATTTTGTCATTATATTATTTTTCAAGAAATGAGCGATCGAATGATGAAATAAAAATATTCCATATAATTAGATAACTCATCTTACTTGATACTTGTTACTCGTTCAACACATAACTAACCAAAAAGTTTGCCAGCACAACTAATAAGGGTTGCCACGTTGCCAGATGTCAGATAGCTTCAGGCAAGTTGCTGTGCTGGAGTCCTATGTTGTTTGAACAAGGCTAATGTACAGGGTGGTGTGTCTTATTATATTTTCATTCTTACCTCGATTCTTACCAACAGGTATCTGTTTCATACAGGGTGTTCCATATAAAGAACAAAAATACCTATTTCTCTGATGCTCATTCATTTTGATAGTTTTGATATTATCGGTGATATCGATAATTTCGATATCATCGATAATATTGATAATTTCGATAATATCGATGATATCGATGATATCGATAATTTCGATTATTCCAATTATATCGATAATACCGATAATATCGATAATTCCGATAATATCGATAATTCCGATAATATCGATAATTCCGATAATATCGATAATTCCGATAATATCGATAATTTCGATAATATCGATAATTCCGATAATATCGATAATATCGATAATATCGATAATATCGATAATATCGATAATATCGATAATATCGATAATATCGATAATATCGATAATATCGATAATATCGATTATATCGATAATATCGATAATATCGATAATATCGATAATATCGATAATATCGATAATATCGATAATATCGATAATATCGATAATATCGATAATATTGATAATATCGATAATATCGATAAATCGATATTTTTTCTTCGAAATATTATCGATAATTATCGATAATTATATAATTATCGATAATTATCGATATATTGATAATTTTTCTCACCCCTAGTTATATCGTCACTGAAAATGTGAAAGGTCTGAAGCGACATATTGGTAGGTTTTCAGCAGAGCGTTTTGAATGTTGAAATTCTGAAAAAAAAATCAACGAGTTGCCTAGTGGATTATTATTAATATTTATCGGCTATTGAATCCCAGCCATCAAAATCCGTGTGAGTCAACAATTCAACATGGTATGGCTCAGGATTTTTTCTAGCTAAACCAAAAACTGTTGGCCACTGCGAAGGGGCATAGATCATATTATGGAAAACACTCTTCTCGATGACTGAATGCATGGAGTCAACGGGCATATAGGTGTGACCAGGCAAAAGGTTTGGATTGTATGATGTATGCATGAGATAACAATCTTGTTTTGTTTCGTCTTGCGCATAAATCACTATATTACAAGAGATGTTTCACCGAGCCCCGAAAGTCAATTATTTTTATATATGTTGGAGTATTGGATTTCATCAAGAAAATCACATAGCTCATGATTTTCATGATAGTCGTATATCTTGTAGCTATGGATATGTTTTGTTATCTAGTTGAAATAAAATACTTTCGAACTGCAGTTCATAATTTTACTGAAGTTGAATATTTCCACATCACTGTTAGATTCTGCAAGTAATTCAATAAGTTATGGGCCCAGAATATCGCTATTGAACTTCTGAAGGAAAATTCAACACAATTTGACTGAACTGTAAAATAAGTATTCCTGGTAATATGATATAGATAATATATTATCAACTGACAGAATCATATCCTTGACACTCGAACAAATTGTCAGAATATGTCGGAAAAGTTTGAGCCAGCAAGAATCGTGAAATTCGATGGAAGAAACTATCAGCTCTGGAAATTCAGTGTCTCCATAGCATTGAAGACCAACGACTTTATGGAAATTGTCAGCGGCAAAGAGATGAGACCTGAAGAAACTGAAGAAAACAGAGTCTTAGTTAGGAGATGGGATCAAAGAAACAATCATGCCATGGTTTTATTTCTCACTTCCATTTGTGAAGAACAGCTAAATCACCTAGTTAATTGCGAAACTGCTACTGAAATGTGGCATAAACTCATCAGCATCCATGAGCAGAAAACAGAGGTATCCAAACATGTTGTATACCAGAAGTTTTATGATATTCGCATGAATGCCGGAATGAATATTGCTACATTCATTTCCGAAATTGAATCTCTAGTGAAACAATTAGAAGAGATGGGAGAGAAAATATCAGAGGTAGCCAAAATTTCGAAAATCATAAACAGCTTGCCAGCGAAATATGATATGTTCGTCACTGCATGGGATTCTGTAGATTCATCAAAGCAAACACTACCTGATCTGATTGCTCGCTTGATGAAAGAAGAACAGAAAAATTCCATTAAAGATGAAAGTGAAGCCACTCTTGCTCTACAAGTAGAATCAATGAAATTGAATCCAAGTTCTACAGTGACTTCCAGAAAACAGAATATACAGAAGCTGAAACAAAAAACGAAATGTGGATTTTGTAAACGAAACAGGCCACTGGTGGAGAGAATGTCCAGACAGGAAAGCAAATAAAAGTGGAAAATCACGAGAACAACCAAGTGGAGCTGGAAGAAATTCCAGAAACAATAATGCTGAAGCCCTAATCTGTGATTTCTCATTGCTAATGGAAGAACTTGAGGACGATCAAGAAACTTGGTTAGCAGATTCAGGAGCAAGTGTCCACATGTGTTTTCACCCTGAATGGTTTACTTCACTGAAACCTTTCGAGAATGATATCGTTGTTCGAGTTGCTGATAATAAAATAATCAAACCCGTGAGCATAGGTGATATCAATATAAAGGCATATGTTAAT